CCGACTGAAATGGATCCAGGGCATCTGTTTCATCCAAGTGCGCCTGGAGCTGGTCAGCCACCACCCTCTCGACCACCTTGCTTAAGAAAGAAACATTGGCGACAGGCCTATAGTTGCCAATTTTGTCCGCCGCCAAACTGGGTTTCTTCCTAATGGGCCTAATGAGTGTCTCCTTGAGGGCAGATGGAAACCCGCCCTCAAGGAAAGACCCATTGATTATTACAGTGCCCTATACCAGTTCCATTCCCTCACTCAGTTTCCATGGCTGAGAGGAGATTTGAACTGTTGTCCAGAATCCTAGTCCATCACTCCGTCCACGACACCATACTGGGAATCACAGAATCTCATCATTTTTAGTGTCTAATTTTTTCTTCTGCCTAGAATCTAATGTCTATTATAGAACATTTATGTTACACGGAGTGGGATCCTGAGAGGGCCTTTATTTGGTTCCTTATGTTCCAAAGATGTTCACCTATTCATTTATTTATGGTTCTTGATTTTTCCGCATAGATTTTTTAATACTTGCACGAAAGAAAAATATAATACTGTTAAGTAAAGGTAAAGGCTCCCCTTTAGGTCCAGTCATGTCTGACCCTAGGCGCTGGTGCTCATCCCCATTTGTAAGCCTAAGAGCCAGCGTTTGTCCATATACATTTTCCGTGGTCACATGGCTGGCATGACTAGACAAAGAATGCTGTTACCTTCCTACTGAGGTGGTACCTATTAATCTACTCACATCACCTCAACACAACAATATTCCAACAGGGTAGAGGCATGCAACTCATTCATTCTTTCATGCTCCCTTGTAACTGCACTCCGAGCCAGTTACTTGTTCCTTACTCTCAGAAATGGAAAGTTGTTATAAAAAATTGCCCTTAAATTCTCAGAATAACTATGTACATTGTCCTGTGTCATCACAGCCAATAAAAGAGAATCAAAGAGTAAAAACTGGGGTGCATCTAAATTTTGTTGAAATTAAGAGATGGAAAAAGCATTTGGGGGCTTTTCAGACAGTAAACAGCATTTTCCAGCTTCTTGAGAAGTGTGTCTTACAAATAGCACAGCTTGCTTTATACTACAGGTATATCCTACCTTTGTCTTTTTAATGCCAATTCATTTCTTATAGAAGAAGGCTGCTGCTGCTGATTTACAAGCAAAGCTTTATGTTGACTTGAGTTCTAAAATAAAAGTTTTTACCATATCATTCATAAGTTATGTAAGACATTAATTGCATAATGGTGGCAGATCCAAATTTTCATTTTACTTTTAAAAGCCCCTACTCCTCAATTTAAGCTTGGATTTTCTCTAGATCTCCATGACTGGAAGGCAGCCAAATTAAACACTATGTCTCTCTTATCAAACTTGTCTCTTTTGCAAAAACACATGAATATCTGATTATATTAAATAAGAATTACAGATAAGAAACAGGGTCATGAATCCAGCACTAGGCTCCTGCCCACTCCAAATGATGCAACCACATATTTAAGTCAATGTCATCTACAAGACTGGTTTGTCCCAGTGTATTCAATTTACTGTATTTGGATAAGTCAAAGGAAGCTATTTTACGTCAGGTCCATCACTCCATCTAGCTCAATATTGTTTACCCTGATATTTTCAGATGAGCTCTGAACTGTGTGAAAGGTAAACCAAGTACAAGACCATTACAGTGCCCTGGCTTGAGAAAAGAGGAAGATATCTTCAAGAATGACCACAAGGAAAAAAATCTCTTATTCTTAGCTTTGTCATAGTAAGCCACATGGTTCATTCTGCCTTCCATATTAAGCATAGTACTCCATCCTGTGAGCTGTCATACAGTAGTCTGATTAGTACATCAGTACATATAACTATGGTAAATGGAAGTAGGCATGCATTTACCTTTTTCTGGTATTTCGCCATTTTGTTCTATATAAGAAGATTTTGAACATTTTGGTTTAATATATTGCTACTGTTGCTGCATCTTTGTAGATACCTACAGCCAATATGAATGTGAGTTGTGAGAAAAGATACATACAATATTTAGAAGATCTTCAAATGTAGGAAACAGAAAGATGCTCAGGTTCACAAACCAATGAACAAGAGTGGGGTGCATTTTTCCAAAATATGCAAGATTTATTAATTTATTAATGACAGTGAGTGGGTTATACAACACATACTGTATTTCTACTTGCATTTACAAACCACGTGTGTTTATCTGCCATGAGCCACAAAGATAGTTGGATGGTTTGTTTGTGTGAAATGTTTTTCAGAGTCAGTTCAGCCTAGGGAGATTATCCTGGACCCCTTTTCAATGGGCAAAATCCTACTGGCGTAGTTACACTGGCATAAAGCAGATCTAGGCTTAGGAGCCTTTAACAGTATCCCAAAGGGAAGCCTTTAGTAGTAAAAAAAAAAATTGCCAACAGATCACCGCTGCTGGGATCAGGACCACTGGTGGTGAGAGTGGCCATTTTTGACTATTGAAGGTTTATCCCTCTCTCCCATCCTGGGGGTCCCAAAGGCTACAAAGTTTTGGGCCCTGAATCGGGGTGGGAGGAACAGAAAACATTGAATTTGATTAAATTAATTACTTCTGCTGCATGGATTCAGTTTACATTGGCCTAACTACACCCTGGTTTGGAACTGCTTTGTAAAATTCTTCCTATTTCTACTAGTCTTTTATCTGTCAACTTGTTTGGTTGTTTTATATTCCTGTGAACGTGACTCCTGTGTGTTGGATCAACATTTAGTCATGAGCAGCCGGTCTGGCAGAAGTTAACTCACTAACTCCTTTCACCCTGTGGCACCTCCTTAGTCTTGAGAAAATGCTATAAAGATGAGGCAAATAAATGCTGACCAGCAGGAGCTGTTGTGGGAAGGCAGGGGAATCCTTAAAAATGGAAAGAGGCACCTCTTGTCTAAATAAGTAAATCAAAAACAAAAGTATAGGAACATCTTAAAGAATAATATTTATCTGAGTGTGAGCCTTTTGGGGTTTCTGACAGGTGGGCTGTAATCCACACAAAATAACAAAGAAAAGAGTCTTTAAAGTGCCAAAGTACCTTTATTTTTATAATGCATTCTGAAACAGGCTAAAATGGCTACCTCTCCTCAAACTGTCCACAGAAGGCAGGTCTGGGATTTGATCATTTGCATCTTTTACCTGCAGATGGACTACATAAACAACTGTTCATTTTTTAAAAAATACAGCTTAATTGTTTGCTTTATTTTCTTGGTTGTCAAGGCAAGTAGAATAAATTAGAAATAATACACAGAAGAGATGTCTGACTGAAGAGCTGCACAGGTTGGAGACGGTTTGTATGAACAAAGCATCTGGAAAAGATCTATTTTAAATGCAGCACTGAGGTTTGATAGCCAGTTATCATGTGGATCAGGCTAATGGAGTGAGATGCTTTTTTGATCAAAGAGACGGTTGGCCACATTGAGGGAACCATCTACCTTAAACTGAACACGTGTATTATTATAATAATAATCTTATTAGACCTGCAGGACCCTCTGGACCATCAAGTCCAGACCCTGTCCAGGAGGCACAGCGAGGAATCAAACTCCCAACCTCTGGCTCCGCAGCCAGATTATTTCGCTTTTTTTGCTGCAGAACGGATGGACCTCTCTACTAGGAGCATTTTGCACATCGCCGAAACAGATGTCCTGTATCGCCACGTTGCGGATCTGTGATAGCCTGCTGGATCCAGACAGAAGGGTGGGGAGACTTTTGGAGCCAGACGGGAAGGTTGCCGATGAGGGAGTGGGCCTGCAGGGTGGAGGCTGGGGCGCTGGCAAGACAGAGATCATGGTTGCCTCTTAAGTAAAAAGAAGAAAGGGGGATGCCGCCCACCAAAAGGACGAGACGCACGACTAGCTCCGGCTTGCTTCTCGCAGGGGGTTCTGCTTCGAAGCGCGCGGTGGGGTGGGGTAGCCTCATATGGGAGGAGGCCGCCCTCTCCCTCCTCCCTCGGCAACCGCAGCGGTCCCTGTAGAGAAGGGCTCTCGGTCTTCCTTGCCCGTGGCTCGCGGGCTGGGCGCTCCCAAAGCCCCCGCTCGCCCGGCCCCAGGGCTGCCTACTCAGCACCTGGCCGGGGCGCAGGCGAGGGCCGGTGGCCGTCCCTTCTTGG